CACTTTAAGGAGTCTCTCCTCTTGATCAACATTCAGCTTGGTAGAAATTATCACTGGGAGCTTTTCATCCATCTCTAGATAAGCATATTTTAGATGTTCTGGTAAGAGTTTTAGCTCCAGTGTGGGAGGCTGCACCACAGAGGGAAGTGATTTGACACTTTCAGTAGAAGAAATTTCTACAACATTCAAACCAAAGGGGTTAGATTCAATTGTACTTGCTGAACTCAATAAGTCACTTTCTACCCTTGCTAATTTTTCAATCTCTTCAATATCAGAAGTTGTAGAATTTATATTCAAAAAATTAGAAATACAAGTGTCACACATAAATGAATTATTATAATATTCATAAACGGAAGTGTCTATACATTCAGAAAAATTAAGAGAAAAATCTTCTTCTAAAAACTCAGAAAAATTTCCATCTATCAGAGCATCAAAAAGATCAATCTGGAAGACAAAATGTTCTTCAGATGGGTGCTTCATGGCATCTAATATGTTGAAACGCACAATGCTATCTCCAAACTTCATGGTAAGTGTCCTGGCATGCATATCAATTTTTGTTCTTGCATTCTTCAAGAACGGTCTTTTCAAGATAATTTGTGTAACACTCTTCATTGATTCTCCCTCTTGCATATCCAAGATGTAGAAGTCAGTTGGGAAGATGAGATCATTTACTTTAATTAGCACATCTTCAACAAGAGACAGTGAAGTAAAAATGGACAATGACATGACATTTATGGATGCTCTTAAGTCTAACATGACATTCTCAATCCTATTATTACCAATGATGCGTGGGATGGTGAATGTCCCTGGGTCCTTACATTTCTCAGGCATTGTGGACTTTTGTGTCTCAAAAAGTGCAGAAACATTCTTACCCATGTTTACCTTTTCTATACAAAGCTAATTTCTCCTAAATTTGCTCAAAAATTGACAAGGACTGAAACAATCCAAAAGGTTAAGAAGTAGTGATGTTGACTTGTTGACAAAGCAAATAATGTTAGACAAAAGTTTTAATATCATGTTGCATACTCTCCCAATAAAGCTGAGAAGAAATTCTAGCCATTGTCTGTTTAGAGGGAAGAACTAATTGTTTCTTTCAATATGATAATTGATCTTGAGTAGAATAATGCAGTTGAGGAAGAGTTTCTTGAATGCATAGGTGAAGTATTTTAGGTAAATTGGAATTAGTAACAATAACAATTATCACGATAGGGATGATATTCCACTGTGGTTGAGGAACAACCATGAAAAAGACTGAGACAGTGAATTTGTAGCAATATTATCATAACTTGATGGTGTAGTCATAACGAAGAAGTTTATGTAGACATGCTTGTTGCTCTGGGGTTTAGATTACTTGATTAGTGAGACTTCTCAAGCCTTTTTAATCAATTTTGATAATAAATTTATATCCCAACAAGTAATGTCAAAATAATGTTTTAGCTGTTGTAATAACATAGAACTCTTGCATATAGGCTAATTGCTTTTGCATTCTTGGTGACACTTTCTTTGAGAAAAAGAAAATAGGTTTGACTAAGGACAACACCAATATGCATACTAGAGGTGTTAGTTTCTAGTTAAAAAGGCTTAGTAAAGTGTGGAAGAGCCAATACAAGAGTCTTAGTGATAACTTTCTTCAGGTTTTGAAAAACATTAGTAGTAGTTGAATCCTAATGAAAATTATCTTTCTTTAAGAGATTAGTTTAATGGGAGAGCTTTGAGCACATACCTTTTGATAAATCTCCTAAAATACTCGGTGAGTCCAAGAAAGTCTCTAAGTTGTTCAAGAGAATTTGGTAATTGTCAATCCAACACATCTTGGATTTCATTCTAATTCATGGTCATTCCATTCTTAGATATTGTATGACAATATAATTAACTTAGTTTAGTTTGAAATGATATTTAGACAACTTGGCAAAAATTTGGTGATGTTGAAGGATTTTTAAATTAGCTTCCAAGTGTTGCTAGTATGAGGACCAAGATAGGTTATAAACCAATATATTATCTAAGAACACCAAAATTGATTTATGAATCAGCCCTTAAAATTTTGAGTTCATTAAACTTCAAAAAGTAGTTGGTGTATTTGTGAGTTTAATTGACATTACAAGTCATTCATAAGTCCCTAGTATGTCCTAAAAACTTTTTTAAGTATGTCTTTGAGAGATACAAGGATCAGATAGTATTTTGAGTGAAGATCCATCTTAGAAAAATACTTAGTTCCAAATAGTTCATCAAACAACTTATTAACTGTTGAGATAAAGAAAATATCGTACACTATTATAGTGTTTAAAGCTCAATAATCAGTATAAAAATACTATGTTCCATCTTTCTTTCTTTTTTTTTACTAAAAAGATTGGTGAAGAAAAGGGACTAGTGCTTAGAGCTATGATTCCCTCCTTTATCATCTTCTTGACCATTTTCTCAACTTGTTCTTTCTAGTTATGAGTGTTTATAGGAACGAACCTAAAGAGACTTGCTACCCAAAATTAAGGAAATATCATGGTTATGGGACCTTAAGACAACTAATGTTAAGGACTAATACGATTAATCACTCTATTACCTCTTTATAATATTACTTAACAACAAATACTAACGTGGTTGATAACAACTAATGTTAAGAACCAACATGATATTTTAAATTAGAAAAAAACATTTAAAAATAATATAATTGGTTGATAACAACTAATTGTTGAAAGTTTTAAATGGAAGTACTATATAAAATAAAAAAAAAGGTATAATTGTTGAAAGTTTTAAGTGGAAGTACTATATTACTAGATTTAGTATATAAATTTTATAAATATAAATATATCATGAAAATTTTGAAATATAAGATAATAATTTTTTTTTATAAATGTAAATATTGGTATTAAGAAAAAAAATCTAAAACTTTATATAAAATAATAAGCAAAATTAAAGTAATAGTCTTGATCTCCAAATTTTTGAACAAAATACAAAAAAAATAAGAATAAAATTATTTCAACAACAAAAAATATAATTTACCTATAAATCAAAGTACTATATTTACTAGTTTAGTATATAAATTTTATAAATATAAATATATCATAAAAAATTTGAAATATAAGATAATAATTTTTTTATAAATGTAAATATTGGTATTAACAAAAAAAAATCTGAAAGTTTATATAGAATAATAAGTAAAATTAAAGTAATAATCTTGATCTCCAAATTTTTAAACAAAATACACAAAAAAGAAAATAAAGAATAAAATTATTTCAACAACAAAAAATATAATTTATATATAATTTTTAATCAAATTTAATCCTAGAAAATACATGTGACTAACTATTAAAAAAAGTTGCATGTGAATTAGAATGAAATGTTGAAATGTATTTTTTTTATGCCTGTTGATGCGTGATTTGAATAATGTTAGAAAGGTGTGTAATGTATGAGGTGAGTCTGTGTACTTGTGTGTGATAGTGTAGAATACTTACTCTTACATTTATTTTTCAAGTGACCATGATGATTAACACCAAACTCAGTGAAAGAGATGGATGAAACTGCTCTAAGACTTAAAGAATTTATTTTTGAAAACTGTGATATATTAATAGGTCATGTAGTAATAATTTGATTCAAACTTGTAATTCATTTTTATTTTGAAATACTTTTATTGAAATTATACATTGAAAACTATTTAAATAAAATTTTTATTATTCCTATTTTATTACAAAATTAATTTATTTTAAAAAATTAAAATTAAAGTGTTACACTAACAAACTTATTTATATGTCAATTAGTTTAACCTTTTATATAAATTAAAAATTATATAATATTAAAATATTATACTAAATTATATTATTATTATTTATAAGGAACAATTCATCCCTCATTTTCTAAGTTCAAACTTGAGTTTTGTTTCACTTGAATATTTTTAAATGACTGTTAATATTATTTTTAATCAAAACCAAAGTTGATAAAATATCCATTTTGAAGTTATTGTATACTGTTATGATAAAATTTTAGTTTTAAATAAAAAGAATATAAAAACACCTAAACACTTTTACTTTACTTTATTTAATAAGCATTAGATTATAATTTTAATAAATAAATATAAAATAATACATTATTTTAATCTCTAAAACTACAAGCACTCGGCAAATTTAATCTCTAAATTACAAAAACGAATTTCTAATCCTTAACATTTTATTAATCTTTATTAAATTCATCTAATAACATATATGACAAGTTAAGTGTTAATGCAATGAATGTTCAACATAGAAATGAACAATCATAATATTTTTGTATAAAACTCATAAAAATTACGAAATTAACTTGTATGTTATATAAAAATAAAAAATAAATAAAATAGGTAAAAAAATAACTATTTCACATAAAAATTTAATTAAATATTAACATTTAATACTATGTTAAATAAATTTGACAATAATTAATAAGAGAGATTATTTTTTTATAATTAAAAATCCTTTGTAATAATTTTAGTTTAGGGATTAAATTTATGAAAACATATAGTTTTATGAATTAAAATGACCATTTTATGATAACTTGATAGACTAAAAATTATATTTTATATTTTTTTTAGACTAAAATATGAGTAACTATATTTTATAAAAATGATTGATTTTTTGTTATTTTACAAATTAAATCTTTTTATTATTTTAAGCACTAAATTGACTAGTATCTTAAAATAATTAATTTCTAATTATTTTATAACTTAATTAGATAAATAACGACTTTAATTATTGTAATACATCAACTACTTAAATCCCTCACTTTATAAAAATCTTGCTTTAAACTTAATTTTACAAAATTATATTAGTTTTCCTTTTTAATACAAAGTAATAATAGAAATAAGAAAAGAACTAAAATTAACAATTTTTAACAATTGAAAATTAAAGATTTTTTTAAAATTCAAAAATAAAGTGATTAACACTTCAGAGCAAAATGAGTATTTACTGAATTTATTATTTCAATTGATTAAATTGAAGGCTAAAAAGACATTAATAAATGTGTCCAAATTATTTCCATCCACTACACAATAATATTTTTAATTTTTTTTTGCAACGACTGGAAAACGAAGCGTTTAGATTTAGAAGAACAGAAGATGCAGCTTCGTCGATCTTGCTTCTTCTATCGTCTTCCTTTCCCATCGCGTTAGGGTTTGCAGATATTCAATTTTCCTTCATTTTGCTATCTTCGACACGCATAGCATCTCCCAATTCCTCGGAAGTCGTTTGTTCCTAACTCGTCTAATCGAAAATTATCAGTCCACAAGGTACAATATTTCTTTCCCTGCGGTACAATTCTTCTTACTCATGTTACATTCTATATGCCTTTGCATCATTCTCAATGAAAATTCAAATGAATATAATTTTTGTATCATTTAAATGTTTGTAAATTTTATCTCTCTGTGGAAAACTAATAGGAGTATGAACTGATTTTTCTGTGCCTGTAACCTACATTGTGCCGTGTGATACGTACCTGTATTCAGCAATCGTGATCCCTATTTTCCATAAGTTATGATTGTGTGTTGTAGCTGAGGCATGATTTCTGGTTCTGTAATATTTTTCATTTTGTTTATGTTTCCAGGGAACACAATCTTTGGGGCATTTGAGTTTGAATTTGAATAGGATGAACATCTAATAAAGGGGAAAATGGAGGCCGAGGCGCAAATCTCGCATGATTTGAATACTCAACTTCAGCCTGAGGCTGTTTTTTCAGTTCAAAATGGGGATCTTGGTGTTTCCTCATCTGTTGCAAATGCCGTTATACCACAGCAGCCAGGTCAGTTTTCGCTTCATTCCTGTTTTTTATTAAGCGTACTTTGAAGCGTGTGGTTGTGGAGATGAGAAGTAAAATGTTTAATTGCTTGGTGTCAATTATAGCTCCAAAAAAACCGACGAGGCAGTGGGCTGCGTGGACTCGTCAAGAGGAGGAAAGCTTCTTCACTGCATTACGACAAGTTGGGAAGGTACGTTTATCTTTGCTGTTACCTTTTTGTGCTTGTTTCTTATGGAATCATAATGATTGCTAACTAAAATATCCTTGAATGTAGAATTTTGAGAAAATCACTTGTCGTGTCCAGAGTAAAAACAAAGATCAGGTATATGTCACGACTCCACGTGGCTTTTTAACCCTTTTTGTTTTCCCAGTTCCCCACATAATGATAATGTTTAGTTTTGTCGCCAATAATTTCATGGCTTGTTTTGGTTTTCTCACTCTTATTGCAGGTCAGGCATTATTACTACCGGCTTGTGAGACGGATGAACAAACTTCTTGGTCCAGGATTATGTTTGGACGCGAAAAACTCTAAAGATACTAATGCTGCAATGCTTCGCTGGTAACAATTTACTCAGAATGGTTGTTTATTAAATGGTTTATATGTGTGTTTGTGTGGGTATAAAATGGAAGATGCGACTGCGTTTTTGTACACTAAGTTAAAAAGGGTTGTTCTTTTAAATAAATCAAGGGAATACGATGGAACATTAATGCAGAACTGGAATTCAGTTGATTTTGTTGGATACATGTAAGGAAAATGTTGGATAAAACAGGGTGATATCGGGAGAACATGTCCTTGGATGGAAATCTGACATTTCAGATATCTAGCCTAGACCATAAGGGTAAACATCTTTGGCAGTAAGAAAATATCAAGGGGTGAAATTCTTGACTAATCTGCTTCAAATTACATAACATCCCCCATTTAAAGACCCTTTTTTAATTTGAGAATAGACAGGACCTTTAGTGATTCATTAAATGATACTTTGATTTTAAGAGTGAAGTTGTGAGGATCCATTATCAAGTTATTTTCCCTACTTCAATCATGACTTTATGGGTCTCCTTTAATTTCAGAAACTCTTAGTTGATGAGAGATTATTATATTTCTACCTACATTTCATTTGTTTGTGTTGAACTTTTTAATAACTGAGAGTATATATGAACTTTTACCAGGCTATCTGCATTAGAGATCCTATCCTATGGAAATATGAGAATGTTTTAAAGAGCATATTCCTTCAAAGATAACTAATTGGATTTCTAATTTGCGTTTTATTTTGATACACTATTAGTGTAAAAGAGTTTTACACCATCTTCCAATGGTGTATTGCCACATCATTTAATGAGTTTAACTATGTTAACAACTGCATGAAATGTCAAACTTATTAAATGTTATGGAAATAAAATAAAATTTGAAATTTACAGTAGAAATAAAGGAGAATAAGAACCATGGAAGTACAGGTAGGCTGCCCTATGCTTAAGACTAAAATTGAAGGATAAATGAATAAAACAAGGAAATTGCTGTTAAAATCCAATTGTAAGGTATAGGACTCAATTCCCATATTTGAAGTATGGGATTCTAGTGAGAGGTTTATAATGCCATGGGCGCTCCAACTATGATGGCTAGCTTTTGTGGTGTGGATCTCTGAAGTTACTTGTCAATAACAAGGGAAATTAGAATCTCTCCAACCCTCCTGTATTATTTCCACCTTACTCACTTCATGCCTGGGAACCCTCTTTCCCTCTCCTGTTATTTTCTCCCCTTTGCTCCTCACCTCCTAACCAACATTTCATCTTTTCCTTGTGACCCTCCTGCCATGTGGGCAGGTGGCTACCATTCAAAACCCCGCTGACTCACCAATCCCTCTCTTACTGTGTTTGTTAGTCACTTACACTCCTACTGTGCCCCCTAGCAATGGGTATCTATCGGCAACACATCATTGGATTATAGTGTAAAACATTCTTACATTGACAGTGCATTTACTGATTTTATCATCTTATAGTAATTTCCTGAATAAGAATAGGGGTATGCTACTATTGTTTTAGAATTTTTTTGCATTGAAAGTTTCTCACTCTGATTTGTGATACAGGTGGTCTTTATTAGAAAAGTATAGCTGCAAAGCCTCAAAGCTTCATCTGAAGCCCCGAAGATTTAAAATATTTTTAGAAGCATTGGTTAGTAATTACTATTTATATTTGTCAGGGATGGATTTTTATGTTTTTATCTTTTATATATTGATATCTTCAGATGTGCTGGAGCTGATCGATATCTTTTGTTGTGAAGGAACACCAACTTATGAAGGACCGGAAAAAGAATGTAAGGAAGCGACCCTTACAAGGAGGAAATTGTCTTCCTGCTGCTCCTACCACAGTCTCGAATCAAAGTAGAGCATCAGGAAATGATGCCCGTGCAGTTAAACTGGTTCTTGTTGACAGTCAAAATATGTTAAAATTAGGACCTTCAAAACCATCAATGAAGCGCAATGTAAACATGGGTGTTAGCCGTAGTAATGCTAAGGGAGATTCAAGTACCATGAAACCAACAAGGCAAAGAAAGAAATCTGGTGATTCTTTTTTGATTTTCTGTAGATCTTTGACAAGTTTTCTGCTTTGAGCTAGTTTTATCTGCATTATGAATTGATAATATATATTTAAAGTAAATTTGCATGAGTCAATTTGTTTACTTCCTTTATAGTAAGGAATTTGTTTTTTCTCTCTATCTATATCTATATCTGTATCAGGTATGGTTTCAGCAGCTGCATATAGAAAATGGGAGAAGGCTGCAATTGCTGGTGTTTCTTTAGTTGCAGATGCTGCTGAGCATTTGGAGCGTGCTGCAACTGTTCAAGAGATTGAACATGACCAGGAGAATCCAGGTAGCTGCCATGCTTTTATCCGATCCTTGCTTTCATAGGGGCTTTCTGGGATCTTCTGTAACTTCACACTGATTTTTCTACAGTCATTCCAGGAGAAAAGTGTTCTGATCCTGTTGATTATGTCCTGCCCCCTTTACCTACATATCCACAGAATCACTTTGTTGATAACAATTTGAATAATTGTATGAAACTTAAGCTCCAGTTATTCCCAATTGATGAACCTACTCGAAGAGCCTTGGAAATGGTCAGTATAAAAGAAAACCAACAAGCATCTTGCTGTAGCAATGTAAAAGTGCTTGTGGAAACTATAATTATTTGTTTATCTTTTCTTCTCCTAGGATAAGCATAATCCATACCTGGAGCTTACACTAAGTACACGAAAGAAGATATCATCAGTAGTAGAACATCTAAACCGTAAATGGGGTAATTCAAGCATAGCAGTTGGAGAATTGATGCTTTTTCCTTATGGTATTCAAAGGGAAAACTTGGTTAATTATCAGAGATGGAGACAGGAATCTACACTTAGTGCTGCAGATATATATGCTATGATTGGAAGTCCACCCACCTTCCGTTTAAGGTACCTATTTCATGTTGCCCTCTTGTTTTCATTGTTATGTCCAAAATAACTAACTGGTAACATTTAGGACTGTTAATTTAATTGTAATTTTGTAATATAATTCCTTAGATAAAAGAGGATGTGAAAATCCATTCTTTTAATAATCGATTACTTGGTTAATTTATAATAGTGTTGTCAAATAATGGCCATGGTGGATGTCAATGGCGGTTTTTGCCCAAACCACCACAAACATGGCGGAAAATGGTAGATTCAGGATAGTGGCGCCATGGCAAAAAGGGAAGCCATGGTGGAAATAGTTGTTTTGCAATGAAAAAAAATAAAATGGGCCTCTGACTTGACCTGGTCCAGAGTGACCCGCGAACACCAAAACCCTAATATCTTTCTCTTCTTCCTCTTGCAAGTTGTGACTCATGTCTCTATTCTTTGGTTTGAACATCTCACTCTTTGTCCTCAACATCTCCTTTCTCCTTCTCAATGTCTCTTCTCCTTCCTTGATGTCGGTGACATCCACAACCTTGTCTCTGGCGATTGCCGCTGCCACTGCCACAATTCTAGCGACTGCTGCTGTCACTACCCTGGCAAGTCTATCTGTCGGCAAGTGAACTTTTTTTGTTTTTTTCCTTTATTATTGTCCTCCCCCTTTTTGTTTTCTTTTTCTTCTCCTTGGTTTTCAGTTTCCCTTTTCTCTTCGTTTTTCTCCTATTCTTTTTTTTTTCCACTGTTTTTCGCTCTCCTGTTCTGTTTCACACCCATTTTCCATATTATTCTGTTTTCACTTCTAAGTTTCCTTCTCTGCTTCTATATTTTTATTCTGTTTTTTTCTGTCTCAATTTCAGCTTTTTTTTTTTTCTGTTTTACAATTATTTTGTTCTTATTTTTTCCTCACAACTTTCCTTCTTTCTTTCATATGTTAGTTTTTTAGTTTTATATCACATTCTACAGTATCTTTTTATATGTTTTTGCAGATGTAATATATATTATGACTGCCATGCTTTTATATTATGACATAAAATTATATGTTTATGTATATATATATATCGGAAAGAATCTTCTCACACTAGTGTAAGTTTAAAAACTCTTACACTTGATCTGAACCTTTCATTTAACTTACATCTAACGGTCAGTGAAGTAATAAATTATAACTCGTTAGATGTAAGTTAAATGAAAGGTTCAGATCAAGTGTAAGAGTTTTTAAACTTACACTAGTGTGAGAAAAATCTATCCTGTGTATATATTATTTTATTATGACTGCCATGCTTCCATGATAATCCATCATGGCATCTGCCATAATTTTATGGCAATTTTTTGGCTGTCTACCATGACACGCCATCTACTATTGTTAACATTGATTTATAATCATGCTTTCTGTTTAAGTGTTGAATTGATGAGGGGAAAGTAAACAAGAAGGTTTTTAGATACATTATAGAAACAAGCAAATTGTTTCTGGGATTCTATAAATATAAGAAATGTTATAAATTGATAGTTGTGTGGGTTACTATACCTTTGTTGGAGATTAAAGATTTTGTTTAGTTTTATTTTTTGTGTTGAGTCCTCAATTGCTTGATATACAAAGATAGCATACTAATTCAAGAATGGAATTTACATGTTAAAGAAAAATAAACAACATGAAGTACTTGTGTGTAGAACGAGATTGTTTATTGAATCAAATACTGGGGATGGACTAAAAATTATAAATATGGAGAGAAATTTGAATAAACTGTAATTTCTACCTTTCAATTTGATTCATTTGGAAAAATTGAGATACTTGTACAGTTGGAAAAATCAAATATATATGACATTAAATTTGAGCATCGTGGAAAATGATTTAAATTGATAATCAATTTGTTTTTTCACCTTCCAATGACAACAAACAATAAAAAAAAGATAGGCATTATTGTTTTCATATTGTTTGTTTATTCTCCTTCTTCCCATAATAATGAGCCTCACAACAAAAATACATTGAGAATACATTGAGTATTATTTTTTTTAATATTTTACAAGATGTAATATATCTTTGAGAATTTGGTTTTTGATTGAGTATAATGGTGTTGTGTGAGCCATATAGTCAATCTCATTTAGTGGAGTAAAACTTGGTTGTTATTCTTGTATTTTACAAGAGGTATTATACTATTATGTTTTAATTTTTATATTACATTTTAATTTGACTTTCCTAATTTTTAAAACACCCAATGAGTAGTGTACTACAAGTGTTGGGGAGGTGTTGAAGTTGAAAACATGTTCAACACTATGACACCTTGAGAAGGAGTCTCCATCTATATTTTACTATATCTACATTGTAATGACCGTATTTGCATATCTTGGTGAAGGTATGGTTGGTTCTCCAATACTGAGCCTGGGTTAGTCAATATGCAAGTGCCTGTAGCATCCAGCTGCATGCTCACACAATCCAAAATTAGTGTAGACAATACTACAGATCAGATTGTGAACTCGGCATCACTTCCTACACCGTCAACTAGTAATCATACCATGGAGCTCTCCGAAAATTGCAGAACATCTGTGAACAGAAACAGTACTCTTACAACTACTTCAACTGATATGCCTAATACTAGAGATGGTGTTGTTTATCTGAACACAAACACTGAGGAATCTTGTAATCCTACTGCCAATACATCGTGGCATGGAAAAGATGTTAGAGATGGAGATGGAGCTGTGACCACACAGTTGGAAGACATGGTATTTGCCATACTCTCATTTGCTTTTTCTTACTTTTATTAGCCTTATAGTGTTACTATAGATTTTTATCATGGGATAGGATATTGAAGTGCCACCTTATTTTGCTTTGTTGGCTCGTGATATAAAATTTCTCATTTCTTGTGATACCTGGGGCATATCTCTCCCCTTTTCAGATTATAATTTTCCAATTATGCACTGCAGGTTTGAGTGGTATACATTAACCTATTGTTTTTCTTTTTATTAGTTAAGATGCCTAATGTGTCATCATCAGCATCCTAGTCTATAATGTCATTATTTAAGCTTGAAGTTCCTTGTATGTATGCATTCAGGATCGGTTGAAATTAGGCAGTGGAACTGGAATGTCAGCTGGGGAGTGGGCTGACAGCCTTACCAATATTAGTGTGGGGGATCTACTTTCAGGAGTGTCCCAGGATCTCGAAGATAACTGCATTGATCCTCCTATTGCTGAGAATTGTCATGGTGTTCAGCAAATTCCTTTTAGTAGTGATTCTTTTGATGCTGCTATTGCTGCTCACATATCTAGACATCAAGACAAGATGGAACAACCATGTCTGGCATCCCATGTGTCTTCCATCTGGGATGCTGAAGAAACGTGTGATGCTTTCTTATTTAAGAAAGATCCCATACTTCGTACAGATGGTCCTTCTCCTATTGCCTTAGAATCTGAGATAAAGGTTCCTGAAAGAAGCTTTGGGAAATTGGATAAGGTAGTACTACATCTTATATTTCTTATCTACTTCTAGATGTTGCTTGCAAGGTGAAATAAGGTTTGATTTGAAGAGTTTATTTCAGCTGTCACCTGAGAAAGAGAGGCTTGTAGATGATTTTGGTCAAGCAGACCCTATGCCTGTAGACAGTTGCGAGTCAGATGCAGATATCCAGGATCATTTAGCAAAGGATTATAGTGCGCTAACAGATATGTATTGGGTATTTTTCTTTCTATACCCTAGTTTTTTCCCTGGCAAACCACATGGCTTCTTTGTAGTGTTGAGGTTCACTTGCGTCAAGACAGTTTGCAGGAAGTTTATCTCAGGGATATTGCAAGCATGTTTTTAATCCTTAGGAAATTCTGTCACTTTGAACTATTAATCAAAATAAAATCTATGAACTGTTATTTTTGCTTTTGAAATGTATTTATTGGTATGTCTTGTTGACGAAACTACATATATACAATGCATCTGACTTTATTTCCCCCCTTCATCACTTGATATCATTTTTGCAGCCTGATTCGTTGGGACCGTTGGATTTGGACATACCATCAACTAAGTACCACAGCGAAGATCTAATTTTTAGTGATAGTCTTAGTGGACTGAATCGCTTGATAGCCAGCAGCCTGGATGCATTCCAGAATTGCTCCTTTTTTGGGTTTGACAAGAAGGAAACACCAACAGTCGAGGCTCGAGAAACTGCCACACTTTCAGATTTTAAAATTGGAAGTGGTATCTGAGATTCATCATCATGATCAAATCATGGTAATGTTTTCCATTTCTGGCATGAACTTAGTTGAAGTTTGTTAAGAACATTTTTCCTTAAACTGACTGGAGGTGTGTGTGTGCGTGCGTGCTGAAGAGTTGGTTTGAGTCACATCAACTCTTCCTGTATATGTTTCTCTAATCCGCGTCTCTTCCTTTGTACAAAAAAATTATCATGGGAGGATTTCAATGTATCAATCTTGTTGGGTGCTGCCTGCTTCTGTAGAAATACCCCCTTTATAAGTACACATGTATCTTCTTTTATTAATGGCTTCTAAACATTGTATTTTAACAAGACTGGCATAGACTTTTATTTTTTTTAATCTAGTGGACTTTTTTTAATGCAAGCTAATGGACAAAAACGTTCAGTTATTTTATTGTCCGATTTATCTCATTTTGTTAAAGTGATAACTTGTGGGAGATAACTTGGATCAAGTGCATATTATATGATTTAAAGTGATATAAAAGCAAAGTAGTTCGCTTTTTGAACAAAATATGTACCGTTACGGGATCAACTGAATAACCTTGATGCATATAACTTGTGAAAATTTTGCTTGAAGTTATGAATGATAAGGGAAGGGAAGAAATGACCTTAAGGCATGCTGCTTGTTCGGTTCATATTCAAATGGGACATCTGGTAGGGGTGTAGTAATTTATGCCCCACATAGATGGAAAAAGTATGCTCTAACTGATGGCAAACAAAATCTGATGGAAAAAGTAAACTCTAACTGCAGGGCTTATCAAATTAACCTAGACTATGTACTTAAACTGATATTGAATGTTTACACATTTTCTACAATTACAATTAAAATATGGCAAGTTAACATAATTTGCGGTACGATTTCTTCTTATAAATAGTAAATTTTATCATTTGATAGATAATCGTGCACACCAACTTTCAGATAAATTAAGTATTTATAATGCGCGCCTGAACAATATAGCAATGTGGTAATTATTATTTATTTTTAAATTATACTAAAATTTCAAGACTTGGACAAATATTCTGTGATAACTTTGAATTTATTAGCAGATTTCACTTATACGTTTCATAATTTTTAATAAATCTAAATATTAAAATTATATATTATTTTAAATAATGTAGATATATTATCTAATAGTAAAGATTTAATGTAATTTAAATAATATATTTTAAGAGAATTTTAATCTAATTTATTTATGATTTTAGTCCCTTAATTTTTAATCATGTGATTTTAATTTTCTTGTTTTTCTAATTAAGCATATTTCATCAACCTATTAAGTTGTTATTCAATTTCTAACTAAGTAGTGACAGAATTTAATGGTGCTGAGGTGTCTTGATGAAAGGATTAATGACTAATCAATTTTTATTAAAAAAACTGTTTTATTTAATAAAATTACTAGTTGATTAATTGAAGGGATTTAAGTTTAACCCTTGAGTAAACATTAAACCAGGGTTACAAAATTAGAAATCTTTCTTTCAAAATCACAAATAAGAAAGACTGAGGTACAAACAACGTGTCTTCAACGAAATGAAAATACTCTAATGAAGTTGGGCTCAACAACAATTGTGAGCAAACGGAGTAAGCCGGTCATTTCTAATGGAGAGAGTACATGAGGCAGTGACAAAAAGCTTGATTTAAGAGTTTATGTGGACAAAGGAAAAGTATGATAGGGAATCCTTCTTGGGAAGGGTTGAAAGGTATTGACTATTATGTGTCAAGGTATGTTGTTTATCAGTTGCTTAGCATGTGTTGCATATAGCATATTTGGAGATTCTAACATATATGGTCCTGACCCAAAAGCTTTAGGGTTTTTCAATTTTGGTGGTCCCCTATGTTTGATACAGTAATGATGGTCTCAAAAGTTTGAGGTTTTCAATTTTGGGGCACCCCTATATTTGATACAGTAATGAATAGAGGATATTTGTAATTTTCTTTTTTATGATTTTGATTTCAGAATGTGGTTTTTTAACCCCTTTTTGTAGCCTAAGTCAACAACATGAAATTAAACTAAGGATTATATCATGGTGACTTGTTTGTGGGACCTCTCCCTATTTCGTATATAGATGAAAAAGTGGAAAGGATTGATTTAGAATGAGATATAAATGAGTTTTCGTAGTTTGAGCTTGCTATAATCAATAAACAACCTCAGGAATCCCTCCTTCAAGTAGCTATTAATCTTGTTTACTCACTTTTTAATTTTAGTTTGTGGTTCCAAAAACTACACATTTTTCGCCACATAGATACATATTATTCTGCCTTGCAATAGTCCAAAATTGAGATCCTATCAAGTCATCACATATGAGGAGGGAACTACGTAGACAAGAAAAGTAAAGGAATAAGGCAAATGATGATGCACACAATCCCTATAAAGTTCATAACGAAGTGTCATCATAAGATGCAAGAGGTATAGGAAGATGGGTCATAATAGATTAGTAAGCATAACTTTGCATTTGTTGTTGTCTTAATAGAAAATGACTATAAGAATTAAAAGGAAACAACCATCACAAACTGTAGGTAATAGTTCTAAACAAGTTACTAAAGTAATTGTAGAACTATGTGTGTAGGTTTTTTTTTTTTTTTTTTTTTTTACTAAATCCTTATTTTAGTTTTTGAAAGAGTTTGAGTCTAACATTTTAGTCCTTGAAAAATTTAAAATATCATGTTAGTCCTCAACTTCTTTCTTCGTCATTCATTTTAGTCCTTAAAATTAGACTTCGTTAACAAATTGTAACAGAGAGCTGACTTGTCATATTAAGTGCCATGTCAGATGTCCAGGTGATAAGAAACAACATCGTTTGGGAAATAAACGTGGCAAAACACATTTAATTGTCAAAAAATAGCGTTGTTCTGTGAATATGAATTTAGATGATATTCTGGGTGAGATTCTAGTATATTCACTTAGGGGGTTCTTCACAAATATATTCTTAGATCTCAAATTGTTCCACTTCTAACGCTGAAGAAGAAACGCTCATTCATGTCGTTGCTAGGTATGTACACTACAACATCGCAAGGTTACTAATCGAACATGCTAATCCTTTTCTTCCTGACATTAAGCACGGGATAGAAGTAGACAAGAACTACATTAGAGCCAAAACTTGTGATGGGAACACTACATTACATGAAGCAGTGAGTAATCATCATATTAAAGTAGTCGAGGTTTTGCTACAAATGGATCTCGTTACTCCTACTCTACTAATAAGTTTCCAATATTAGACCGGTGCTGCATTTTGTCAGAACAAATTGGGGATTCCTTGCACTTTTGAAGTGATGACACTGTTGGGGTTTCTTGGTGAGTTGAATTAACGTCTCTGAAATTATTAGATCTGAGTGACAATAACATTTCTCTTTATTTTCCAGAATTTAAGAATGACTTGTACATTTTGTCAGAACAAATTAGGGATTCCTTGCACTTTTGAAGTGATGGCATTTTTGGGGTTTCTTGGTGGGTTGAATTAGTATCTTTGAAATTGTTGGATTTGAGTGGTAATAACATTTCTCATCCTTGCCAGAGTTTAAGAATGACTTGAACATTTTGTTAGAACAAATTGGGGAATCCTTGCACTTTTGAAGTGATGGCACTGTTGAGGTTCCTTCCTCAGGGGGCAACAATCCTTCAACCAAAGTCATGCAAAACAACGCTGTTTTTAACAATTAAAGTGTTTTGTCACGTTTCTTTTTCAAACGACATTGTTTCTTGCCACTTGGACATCTGATATGGTACTTAACGTGACATGTCAGCTCTCTGTTATGATTTCTTAACGGAGTCTGAGTCTGTGGACTAAAATGAATGATAAAAAAAGAAGTTGAGGACTAACGTGATATTTTAAATTTTTCAAGGACTAAAATGAGGGTTTAGTCTTTTTTTTTTTGGTTCAAAATATGGTAAAAATAAAATAAATTACCAAAATAAGTATTTAAGAAACATTTTCTCTATTTGAAATATTTTTGCCACGTCACTATAAGTGTCATCCCTTATAGGGCCAATATTTATTTTTTTAATAATAAATAAAAAAGTATTGTCCAAGTACAAATCAATACTTATTTTTTTAATAATAAAAAAAAATTGTTAGCTATATAAAGGGTGACGTTTAGAGCAGCTTGACCGATCTGGTAAATATCGGCCTTTATATTGAGTTTCACAGTTGCATTCCGTTATCAATTGAGTCAACTTGTTACTCAATATATTGATAGGGTGGTCAGATCAGATCTTGACTAGATTTCAATTGAGAAAGAGCTTCCCCATGAACTTTCAAAAAAAGTTAAATTGCTCCACCCCAACCCTCCTCAAGAAGTTGAAAATGATGCTTCTAGTAAGTGACACCAAGGTTGTTCTTGAGGTACTTGGCTTGGGTCTAGCTAATGTTAATCTTTGAAATTTTTGTAGGAACACTGTGATTCACATTGTTGCCATGCATAAGGAGACTTCCATTATAGTATCCCTTCTTACCAAAGGCGCTTGTGCATCAAATGTGACTTTTGATAGTCAGAGTGTTGCTAGTATTTGTATGAGGTTAACAAGATCAAAGGATTATCAAACTAACAAAGATAGGATATGCATTGATGTTCTTAAAAGAGAAATGCATAGGAAATTAGGAATGCAATGGTTAGGGATATGCAATCGGTCAAGTTGCTTTGAACATCAACTGTATTTTTTTAATAATAAAATAATAAGTGTCAGCCTTATAAGTATCGATTTTTAATTGGACAATACTCTTATTTTATTATTCAAAAAATAAGTATCAACTCGATACTTATAGTGATGTGGAAAAAACTACTGAAGACAGAGAAAATGTTTTATAGATATCCTATTTTAGTAATTTATTTTTATTTTTATCATATTTTGGTAGAAAAATCCACAAAGTGTAGCTAGTACCAATCCTAGACTAGCTATTGAAGCATATACACAACCATCATATAATGCAACAATGACCCATTCTAAATTGCTTGAAAATTAAATGTCACAATGTCAAGTCTTTTCTAAGGTTGTTTTATACCTACGTAGCAAGGTAATGATATATATAGTTTTAATTAATGCACAAGAGACAATGATGTATGCCTTCTTAAATGAATTAATATTTAGATAATTAAGTATCTATTATTTGCTTTTAATATAATAAAATGTAATAAATCTATTATTGATAGCGTTAAATTATTAGTTTTGAAAAAGCATATTCTCTTCTATATGCTTCATCATATGATAATAGGATTCAATAGTTTCGTGTATTTGTTCAATCATGACTAGTTTTGGGGGCAAAATCTTGTTCGTTACTAAATTCAAGATAAATTTGACTTTATTTTCTTATTATATTACTATAAGATTTAGGCAAAGTTGGTAACAAAAGTGAAGTTAAATATAATTTAATGATAGGATTAAATATGAAATTAGTTTTGACATTCACCTACCTTTCTATTTTAGTCCCTATAAAAAAAATTATTTTGTATCCCTAAATTTGTTAA